CATGTGATGGCCGAGGGCCTGCTAAAACCCTAGGCAATGCTCAGAGACCGGAGAGAAGTGCTCACAAGGAGAATCCATCTCTGTCCCTGTATGAGCTATTCCCACAAGGGAAGATCAAGTTAGTATCTCTGCCTTTCCCAGACCTGGTCAAGCCTCAAGCCAGACTGCTTTCCAGAAAGCTTCTGTCCCTGGCTTCATGCAAGCCTACTGCAGCTTATGCTGTGAGGCCACATTCCCACTTGGCTCAGTCTCCCACACTCAAGCAATCCCAACCAGCTCCTACCAGCATATCTGTGACAGCCTCTGACAAGACAGCTGTGCCGACTGCCACCAGTGCCACATCACCTAATGTAACACACAGCTTCCATTCTTGCATGAGACCTGGGCCAGCTGTCCCTGGTCCTGCCCCCTATGAGCATCATCTCATTCTTCACTGCAAGGGTAGCTTGTGTCTGCTGCCAGGAACAAGGTTCCATCACCTCTCAAACCTCAAACCCAGTATCTGCTGCAAGACACCATCTGCCATCCAATTCCATGGAGGGAAGTCAACATTCCAGGGCCAGTCATCTCACAGCCCATCACAGCACAGCAGAGGACAGAGAGGTAGGCCATGAAGAGGTGGGCTCAACGGGAGTGACAGAATGTTGCCAAGTGCACCTCTCAGGACAAACTGCGTGTTTTCCTTTACAGCAAGAAGGAAATGGAAATTGCTTGATTTTATGGCTATGCATTGTATGTGCTGGCCAAGCCGTTGAAATACATCACTATTCATCATTCACAAGGTGAGATATACGTACAGACACACGGGTATGTCTGATGTCTAAAGACTCTGATGAATATGTACATACATAGGTACATATGTAGGTATGTAGACTAATGTGTACATGTCTGGATTTATATACAAATGCAAAGATATTTTCTATGCGTGTAAATATTTGAACACACTACATTTGACAGTAGAAACTTAAGTCAGTTATTTCATCCATGAACATATATAGAGGGTTTTAATGTTTTCCACAAAGTAAGAAAAGATGTTACATAAATACATTATATGCGTGAAATCACTGCAACTGATTATTTAAAATCAATAGTGGTGATAAAATTATTCCCTTGAATTTTATTTTCAATGTACTGGTTACAAAACATGGTATTGTTGCCCAAGAGTATGCAGTATAGTGACCACACTCCTGCTTTTACCATATTTC